ACTGAGCTCTTTTCCTTGGGCCTTCATGATTATCCACTCGCCCCCGAGTACGCCTCCCCTAAACCCATGTCAATCACCTCAATCTAGGCTATTGTATCTTGGGCTTTAAGAACATAGCTCATTTCAATGGGTACTACCCATCGTTCACTTTGAGGTTTCATCCCGGGTTCTATCTAGGAAGGCATTCCTATGGCAGGGGTAAGGCCGCCTCGTCCACGATAGGATCCTATTCATACATCTAACCCTAAAACTCCATACCCAACGTAGAAGCTCAAGTAGGCTAGTAAAGAAGATTAGGGCGACTTACCCAAACACAATCAAAGCTAGAGAAGCATTCAAATCAACTAGATAAACACATTCATAGAAAACCCATTCATATACAACATATAAACTAGGTTTCATCTTCCCTAAACAACCATTAGAGATTTAAGTCATTAGAGATAGAAAGAAAACACAAATTAGAAGAGTGGAGTGATGGAATCAAACTTCTTCTCCTTGCTCCTTGTTTGGATTGGATCTTCAATTAAGCTCTCCCAAGGTGTTTCCCTCTCTAAAAACAACCCAAAATTCTAACTTTCACACTCTACGGCGGCTCTCCTTTGAAAAGTGCAGCAAGAGGGGTATTTATAGAAAGCTTATGGCGGTCAAGGCCTCTAGGGTGTAATGCCATGGTCACGGCCATGACCAGCTGGAACGTCACTGAATCACCCAAAACAATGCGTTTTAACTCCATCTTTAAGCTTTGAGATCGCGGCCGTGATCTTTGTGTCCCGTATGCAATCTTTTTCGCGGCCAAAATGTACCATGCGCGCGATTTGACTGGGGAAACTCTCTGCCTTCTTCTTGGTTACCTGCTGAGGTTCACGGTCATGATCCTCAGCTTGCAAACATGTTCACGACCTAGTGGTCACGGCCGTGACCAGTGCCTCTTCTCACCTTCTTGCTCATATGTTTCCCAATCATGCTCGGATAAACTCCAATCGATTCCTGATCAATCCCAATGCATATAAGACCTAGAATTTCATCACTCACACACACACACACACTTGGGAAAGCATAACATAAGACAAATTAGGGTAGGTTCCCCTATGAAAACCTTCATATTAGGAATAATTATTCTAAAATGGATGTTTTGCAAATAGGAACAAAAGAGCTATAAATAACTTGATATGGCTAGACACGGTGTTTTAACATACAAATGCCTTGGGAATAGGGGTTAAATAACACATATGTTAGGTGTTATCAATAGCTAGCTTTGGTTTCTGTATGGGGTATAGCCTACGTTGGTTTTTTTTTTGTTCCCAAAGCTGTATAATCTGATTTGGGTCTATCTTGTTCTCGTGGTTGTATAGCCTTATTCGGGTTTTTGTGGTCTTGTGTTGATAGAGCCTGATTTGGGGTTTTTGTCCATGGTGGTACCGCATGATTTGGATCTTTATGGTCCCATGGTGGTAGAGCCTGATTTGGGGTTTTTTAATCCACAGTGTTATAGCCTTATTCGGTTCTACCTTGTTTCCATAGTTGTACTGTCTAAAATGGGTCTATAATATTCCTGTGTCTGTATAACCTGATTCGCTGTTTTTGTGGTCCCGTGGAGGTAGAACTTGATTTGGAGTTTTTATCCATGGCTTTATAGCCATATTTTGTTCTATCTTGTTGTCAAATTTGTATAGCCTGATTAGGGTTTATCTTGTTCTCGTGGCTACATAGCCTTATTCGGGTTTTTGTGGTCCCGTGGAGGTAGAGCTAGATTTGGGGGTTTTATCCATGGCATCATAGCCTGATTTGGTTCTATCTTTTCTCCATGGCAGTAAAGCGTGCTTGTTTTTTTTATATTTTAAAAATAGTATAGCATGATTTGGGTTTATCTTGTTCCCATGGCTGCATAGCCCGATTAAGGTTTTTATGGTCCCGTTGCGACATAGCCCGATTTGGGGTTTTTATCCATGGTGGTATAGCCGGATTTGGTTTTAACTTTTCTCCATAGTGGTATAGCCTGATTTGGGGAGTTTATCCGTGGCGGTATAGTCAGTTTTGGTACATTGTTGTTCCCATGGCGGTATAACCTGGGTTTTTGTTATCGTGGCGGTATAGCCTGGTTTGATTTTATTCTCGGTATAGCCTGTTTTGGATTTCATTCACTTCCATGGTGTTGTTTTGGGTTTTTTTTGTTCTTGTGGCGGTATAGCCTGATTTGATTTTTTTGTTGTTGTGGTAGTATAGCCTGGTATTTTCGTATGGAGTATAGCATGGTGAGAATTTTTTCTAGTGGATGTATAGTCTGGTGTCGATTCTATCTCGTGGCGGTATAGCCTTTTTGATCATGTGCATCATTGCGGTAAAATTCATGAGCATATGTGAAAGTTTAACTCGATCACGAGTGGTATAGAGTTTTGTGCTTGGCATGAGGTGTTGAATCAGTTGAGTCTAAGTAGATCTTAGGTATGTTCCAAACTTGATATTGGTAAAGATTTGAATTTGACTTTACCATGATGTGCAAATGTAAGGTATTTTATGATATGATATGATGTGATGAGGTATGTTGATGAAAATGGTGCGCTTGATTGACATTTACTTTGATTGACTATGCATTCCTTAAAACTAGTCATTTAGTGGATGATGGGATATTATTAGTTTGAAGTGCATTAGTCTAAAAGTAAGATCAAGACCAATGCATCACCTTATCAAGGGAACATATACATTTATTGACAAATGATTTCTCCCATTTCAAAATTAAAGCCCGCATATTGATTTCTCGGATGGGTTATGAAGTCATTTTCGACATATTAATCATAAGACAACATTGTAAAAATAGCAAGATAAACCACAAATATATTATGTGAGAGCTCCAACAATTGGCATTCTGTAGTCAATGAGGCTATAGATCGGAAGTCGATCTACAAACTATTGAGTAAGAATAACATGTTCAATTTGGAGTTTGGCGACTATTAATTAGAGAATTTATAAATTTTATATGTCTTAATATGAGTGCTAATAAAAAAAATAAGAATGCTACTAAAGTGGACATATATCTCTTTGAATATGAACCTATATATATGGTTCAGGCTAGCGTACGCCCGGGCGTACGTTAGACTATCATATGCCCATTTGAGTTTTGCTATTTAGATCAAGAATTAACCGGAGTTTTGGGCATGATATTATACCCTAACCACTAATGGATAAATCCCAGTTCCTAGTTTTCTAACCCAAATCACGAGATTCGTTTAATCTTAAAATGAAAATCAACAATAATTTCGACGAATCCGAACCGTTGATATTCATTTCAAGATTAAATGAATATTATGCTTTTGGTTAGTGAATTGCGGACTGGGGTTCATCCATTAGGAGTTAGGGTATAGTATCATACCCCAAACTCCGGTTAATTTATTGTCTAAATAGAAAAACTCAACGGGCGTATGATAGGCTAGGGTACGTCCGAGCGTACTATATATATATATATACATATATGGTGGCTACTTCGGTACACTCACTTTTTTGGGTGCACTGCAACTCTAAAAGCGTCCATAATACATCAAATTTTGAAATTTAATTAGTACTCTCAATATAATATGATGATATGACATAGAATGATAACAAATCAATCCATTGCCCTAACCCTTTAACATTCAATTTTGAATCCCAACCCAAAATCCCAAATTGTAAACCTAAACTCTAACCCTAAATCCCTAAATCCTTCAAATTAAAGTAAATTTTGAATGAATTTTTTTCAAATTCATGTGTTTCTTGTTCATAATATTATAAGCAACAATTGATACCGTTTTGACATGAATCACATGGTCAGAATGATAATTATGAGGCGGGTGCACTGAGTGCACCCGAAAAAGTGGATGCACCGAATACGGCACTATATATATATGGTGACTACTTCGGTGCACTCACAAAAATGAGTGCGTTCAATGCACCCAACTAAAAAACTACGCTTAAGGTGTCTGATTTTGAATTTTAATTTGTAGAATTAGTGTAATATGATGGTATAACATATGATAATAACTAATTAGCGGATTACCCTAAGCCCTAGACCTCAAATTTTGAGTTCTATCCCTAAACCCCAAATTGTAAACCCTAACCCTAACCCTAAATCTCTAAACTCTAAATCCTTCAAATTAAAGTAAATCCTCAATGGGTTTTGTGCAAATTCATGTGCATTATTGTTCATCACATCATAAGTAATGATTGACATCATTTTGACATAAATCACATGTTTATAATGACAGTTATGAAGCGGGTGCACTGAATGCACCCAAAAAAGTGAGTGCACCAAAAAAGTGGCGTCTTCGGTGCACTCACTTTTTTGGGTGCATTCAGTGCACTCACTTCATAACCGTCATTTTAAACATCCAATTTATATCAAAATTATTTCAATCATCACTTATGATGTGATGAACAATAACGCACATGAATTTTCACAAAAACCATTAAAGATTTACTTTAATTTGAAGGATTTATAGTTTAGAGATTTAGGGTTAGGGTTAGGCTTTACAATTTGGGGTTTAGGGATAGAAATCAAAATTGAAGGTGTAGGGCTTAGGGTAATTGGTTAATTATTTGTTGTCATATGTTATATCATCATATTACACTAATTATATAAATTAAAATTCAAAATCCGACACCTTAAGTCTAGTTTTTGAGTTGGGTGCATTGAACGCACTCATTTTTGTGAGTGCATCGAAGTAGTCACCATATATATATAGACAGAGAGAGAATCATCAATATACCCAAATTATGGGTGCACACATATAACTATAACATTTTTACATTAGATAAGGGTACTTTGTAATACCTAAATCACACAACACATTAATTATATATTCATAATCAATATGCAAAGTCGTCTCAATTTATCAAAAAAATAATAAATAACTGATAATTTTTCACTATTATTTATTTGGACTATAGTATTTTCACTTGATCTTATCGCCCAAGTCGTCAATGAATTTTTTTTTTTGTAAAATATTTATGCATAAAAAACAAACAACTAAATTGAATATGGTACTTTATTAGTAAATTTAGACTTGGCTTCCAGTTCATGATATTTAAGTGACACAAACTTCTGGTTACTAATGAATGATCCATGTTCCCACAGTTTAAGTAATATAGTCCATGATCATCTACTATATTTGGGGTAATTATCATAAACGGTCACAAAACTATTCACTTTGTACAAAACGATCACAAACTTTTAATTTTGCATGTTTCAGTAACATATGTTTGGACTAATAACAAAAAAGTAATTCCGTCCATCTCCATCCAAAACTCCGTTAGTTTACTTCAATCAGCACGTCATGTCATCAACAAATAATATTAAAAAATTCAATAAACCAAACCAATTATACCTAATCAAACCAGACTCAACCCCACCCAAAAATTATACCCAACAAAAACACAAATTCAATCCGAAAACAGACTCAAATATGCCTTCCCCTCTTTAACCCTAATCCGAGACTCATCCTCACGATCCAATCCCCATCTCCTAATTCAAAAGCCAATCCCATCTCCCAATCCCCGTCTTTCGCCACCACCAGGTCCCTCTGACAATTTCTCGAGTTGAGCAAGTTGATACTCCGCGTCTCCACGGTGACGATGGAGAAGGCGGCGAGGATTTTGCTTTCGGTGGGGCAGTCGTCGGCGACTGCGGCGGTGTAGTAGGAGATGCTGCAGATTGGGGTCGCAGCGAAGCTGTGTCTGCCGCTGCAAGTGGAGAGCAGCGGGAGGGCGAAAGGCAAGGGCGACGCTGTCTCCAATCTGTTTTTTCTGAACATATTTATACACAGGGCATAAAATTGTGCGCTTCTCAAATCTCAATGAACCATTTTTTCTATTCAAGGGAAGATCTATACGCACTTTGTTTGTTCTTTCCATAAGATGAAATTTAAGAATAAGTTTGAATTTTGGATTGGGAGATGGGGATTGGATCGTGAGGATGATTCTCGGATTAGGGTTATAGAGAGGGGAAATATATTTGATTCTGTTTTCGGATTGGGTTTGTATTTTTATTGGTATAATTTTGGGTGGGGTTGAGTTTGGTTTGTTTGGGTATAATTGGTTTGATTTATTGAATTATTTATTAATATTTGTTGATGACATGGCGTGCTGATTAGACTAAACAAACGGAGTTTTGGATGGAGATGGACGGAATTACCTTTTTGTTATTAGTCCAAACATATGTCACTGAAACGTGTAAAATTAAAGATTTGTGACCATTTTGTACAAAGTGAATAGTTTTGTGACCGTTTATGATAATTACCCACTATATTTGTCATGCACTCATGCTAAATAGTGTGATAAGAAAAATTATCGAGATACTCAACTAAAGGCAAATACGTCGTGGTTAGTATTGCTTATGCAAAGAGATGGGAATCATTAACCACGGCTAATAATCATCTCTACAAGGTGCGAATCTTGGTTGAGAGATAATGTCATTGTCAGGGGTCTAGAATTGCTAATGAAATGAGGGTCGAAGTACTATTAAAAAAGTGTATGGCAAGGGTTCTTTTGACCTGTAGTAACGTTTTTCACCGCTGCTAAAAGTTGCAGTAAGGGGTTTTCCAATCTCCGCATGAAATCTCGCCAATGCTTTCTCTACTACGAGTAGCGAAGGGTTTTAGCAACGCAAGGTAGAAGCCTTATTCAAGGGTTTTAGTAAGGGTTTTAACCCTTGCTAATGTACCAAGGGTTTAAAACCAATGCTACATATTAATATAAATTATAATTGACAAATTTCCAGCAATAAGTTGTAACCATTGATAAATTGGTTGATAAAACTAACAAGGATTAAAACCGTTGCCATACAGCGATGTGGCTGTAATGAGAAAATGTTCGTAGCAAAGGTTAGAACTCTAGCTTAATTTGACACGAAAACTTGATGAACATTTGTGTCCAATCCAACATGGTCACTAACGTTGCATCCTAAAGAGAGGTGCCTCATTAATAACGACAATTTGGTTGAAAATATTGGTATTTTGTTCAATAGTTTCAAATATTTTGGTCATTATACGGTTGGTAGAACCATCATAGTTGCATCTAAAGAGAGTGTCTCATTAGCAAATACATTTTCGTATAAATTGACATTCTAATATAATTGGTACAAAAACTGATTTTTTACATCAACAACCTCAACATTCTAATACAATTGTTCATTCTACTATAATTGGTAAACCCTAACTTTTTGATTATTAACAAGCTCAAAATTTTGGTGATAAATGTCATTCTATATCAATTGAAAGAGTCAGATCAGTTTGTAAATAGGAAAACCGTAGAGATTTAAATTTATGATCTTCAAGCAAACTATAAACACTGATTATAATCTCTGAACATGACTACAGAAACTGAGAAGTTGGAACCTTGATCTCGCTGTTCGTTCTCACTGGCAGGTTCCTCGCATTAATAGACCACATGGCCAGATAAGATTAAATATAGTTAATATATTAATCATCCACTAATCCTCCTTTAATTTGTCTTGATTTAAAAAACTAATGAAAAGTTTAAGGTTAGAATACTGATTAGAACTCCGCAGAAGGTCACCGCGGGTAGGATGCAGATGAATAGTGGATCAGGACGACAACTGCGAGAATGCGTGGAGGATTCTTGTATCGTTTTCTATTTCAAAACAAATTTAGGATTCGGAATATGAAAACTCGTCCATGGAAAGAAAATAAATTTCCAATTTAGGGCCGACTTCATAATGTAGTAAACAAAGTAGGGAAATCCTTGTTGTCACCATGTAGAAGTTGACATGCTGTAGTGATATTGGATTAATCACAAATTAACGTGGGCACTAATCCTTTTCCATCCAAATCTCTAACCATATGACCTTTAAAATAATGGATGATGATCGAGAGTATCGAAATCCAAAGACGCGCGTCCTTCCTAGGCCAAAGAGACCGCAATCGGGCTTCTCACGACATGGTAATTATCCCTCCAACTGTACCACCCAAAGCCGTAGCCATGTTTGAAGTAGTTGTTCGTTGCCGTCCTGTTACTCCGTGCCCTGATCGTCAACGTGAAGCTCTTCCGCTGCCCAACGCGGGTGAAGAACAGAATGCTGGGCCGGACCTTGATGGAGATTCCCAACGGCGGCTTGGCGCTGAAGAAATAAACGTCTTTCCCGTCGCCTCCCACGTTGGTCACCGTCCTCTTGATGGTTATGCTCCCCTTGAGCTTCGCCACAGACAGCGACGGGTAGTTGAGGTCGTACGTCGGCGGCGGACTCTCCGGGCAGTGAAAGTCCTTGTCGGCGCTCTTCACTCCGTAGCTGCAGAGGTAGAGAAGGTAGTCTTTATACGAGGCATCGTACACGAGACCCGGATCCTCTGCCTTGGAGGGGCGGAAGTGACCCGACCCGAACTGGAAGGGCGTGGCTGTCTCCCCCGACGGATCCTTTATTGCCTCCCCCATGTTGTTCTTCATCCATGCTGCGCAAATCAATTTTATTTTAACCCAAAAATACCATGAACCAACCAACTAACTAATGATTCTATATTGTATTCTAGGCAGAGAAGAGAACACGAGTCAAATTAACGGACCGGTTGTGATGATGGCAGATCTGACGGCGGCGCTGCTCCAAGTTGGGTGTAGGGATCTGACAAGTGCAGCTAAACCGGCGACATGAGGGCAAGCCATGGAAGTTCCGGATTCAATATTGTACTTAACAATTCTTTTATCTGTTGATAGTTTTGTCGGCGGGGAAGCTTCACTCCATGCTGCCAGTATGTTGAGTCCCGGAGCCGCGATGTCAGGCTGTTAATTAACAAACCAATATAATGTTAGCCTAACGTACAATTCAGATGAAGAAATAAATGACAAATAAACAAAGCAACTAACTGCCCATTTACCTTAAGGACATACGGATGAATGACATTGGGGCCTCGACTAGTGAATCCGGCCATGAAAGGCGCCGGCTTATACCCTAACACGGTCTTTGCCTCTCCGATGCTAGCCGTTGGATTCTTGGTGGAGTTAATGTAGTCCATGATGTCAACCGCCTCCTTGTAGACCACGGCGGTCGCCGGGAGTACATGAGCGTCGACGGACACCTCGTTGCCGTTACTGGCGCCATTGCCGAGGATGAACCCCGCCCCGCCAGCCCTTTTCACTTCCAGCCCCTTGAGAACTCTCAACCCTGCGCCTCTCATGCACAACACTATTTTCCCCTTCACCTTTTCCGACGAGAGAGAGTTGGGAAGGCACTGGTTCGTTTCGTTCTTTGGTACCCCAGCGCGGACGGCGTCGGCTGCGTACACCAGTGGGAGCGCCTTGAGAACGCTGTACGGAGTCACGGTTTGTCCCTGCACCCAAAGAACAATTAAAAAACAAAGAGAGAACGAACTAGTCTTTCGTTAGTTATTCGTCCAAAAAAGAAAAAGAAAAAGAAAAACAAAGCACATACAATACCCCCACCGTGATCGTTTTGCCATTTCCAAGGACAAGAGGCCCATGAAATGCACGGTCCAGGCTGCTGGCGCCGACGGTGAGGATCCAAGGCGGGGGATTGGACAGCGTGGCGGGGGCGGGGCCGGAATTTCCAGCGGCACAAACAACGACGACGTTTCTCTTCATGGCGTGCAGGGCTCCGATGGAGAGGGCGTCGTCGGTGTGGTTGACGGGAGTCTGGGTGCCGATGGAGATGCTGATGACGTGGACACCGTCGGCGATGGCTTGGTCCATGGCGGCCAGCATGTCTTCCTCGAAGCAGGTGTTGCCCATTGCTTTCTCCTGCTTGGGGATGGCCCAGCACACCTTGTAGATGGCCAGCCGGGCCAAGGGTGCCCCGCCCGAGGCCGTTCCCTTCGCAAAACCACCGAAAGCCGATACGTTGTGGACTTGGCGGCCAGCTACCGTGGAGGCCGTGTGGGTCCCGTGACCGTCCTTGTCACGCGGTGACCTGTAATCCTCAGTTTCGTTCAGTTTGCCGTAATACTTCTCAAACCCTTTCACGTAGTATCGCGCTCCGATGATTTTCCTGCAGCCATTCAAGTGCAAGTCAAACAAACAAAACCCAACCCAAACCAAACCCATAATCAGAAATTCTTATGTGCCGCCACTGCACCGGTACAGTTTACGATTGACCGGCTACTGTAAGTTGGCTTTACCGAAAACAATTTTCTGCCTCACAATTTGATATGACATTTTTAATCATTTTTCCATTTTTTCTTGTTGATTTCATTTCCCCACTTTTCGTTTACAGGTAATGTATTTTTTTTTTTTGACGGGAATATGAAAACAGGTAATGTATTTTTCATTCCTCCATAACAAAACAAAAGTTAATATATAAGATAACTTTTTTTAAGGGTAATATATAAGATAGTTGGGGAGTCACATAGATATACACCGAAGTTAAAATTATGTGTATCCTTTTATTAGAATATAAATTTCAATTAAGGATTTCATTTTTAGTATAATAAATCAATGTTCTTGTAATCGAATAATAAAAAAGTAACTTTCTAGTAGTGGTAAAATACCCTTATGTATGCTCCAAATTGGCGAATAACATCGCTTGCATAAGTATACATGAGGATTTATTATTATTTTTTTATCAAAACTTACTTGTATTCTCTGAAAGAGCCAAAAACCCTTTAGGTTCGACTATGATATAAGTTATATCATCATGAACCACTTTCATATCACCATGATACGATCTTATCCTTATGTACTAGTTACTATCAAGTATCAAGTACTGCCACCATGGTATAGACTATGATATAAGTTATATCATCATGAACCACTTTCATATCATCATGATACGATCTTATCCTTGTGTACTAGTTACTATCAAGTATCAAGTACTGCCACCATGGTATAGACTTGTAATA